CAGCCAGGAGCTTCACTGTGGCCCCTCCATGAGGGTGGTGTGGTAAACTGGGGTGGCAGACGGTCCCTGTCCCCTCAGAGCCCCTGCCCCAGGCTCTGAGTCAACAGCCGACCCCACAGAGCAGCCTCAGGTCAGACTGAGGAGAAGGTCTGGGCGGCTGCAGGCTGCAGTGCTCCTGGGACCCAGGGAAGTTCCTACAGTGACCTGATTTGAGGGGTGACACTGAGGGCAACTCCAATTCAAGCGGTCACCGCATTTTACTGTCACCGCCTTTCAGGGAGAACAACAGCTGTGTTGAGAAGAAGGTCCTTGCAGAGAAGACTGAAAATCCAAAGAATTTCAGGATCAACTGTGCAGGTCAACTGAGCAGGTCCCCGGTCCCCAGGGGCTGGCTCAGTGCTGGCATCTGGCCGCGGTCTCCCAGAGACCGGCTCTGCTGGAGGATGGGGGATGGGGCCTGTCTCATCTCAACTCTCTCTGCTTCAGGGAGTCAGAGTGTTTGCTCTGCTCAAGCTGATGCTGAGCCCAGAGGAATGTTTTCCCTGGAGGGGAAGGGGAAGCACTGACTCTTACGACAGTGACTGTACTTATGTCTGCACTGTGCCCGGGCACAGGGGACAGGCGCTGTCTGTGCACTGTTCACTCTGGCCTCACAGCAGGCCAGGGAGGCTGCAGGTGAGAAGGTGAGCAGATGCATAGATGGGCAGGTGAGCAGGTGGGCAGGCAGGCAGGTGGGTAGGTAGGCAGGTGGGTAGGTGAACCGGTGGGCAGGCAGGCAGGTGGGTAGGTAGGCAGGTAGGCAGGTGGGTAGGTGAACAGGTGGGCAGGTGAGCAGGTGGGCAGGTGGGTAGGTGAACAGGTGGGTAGTTTGGCAGGAGGGTAGGTGAACAGGTGGGCAGGTGGGTAGGTGAACAGGTGGGCAGGTGGGTAGGTGAACAGGTGAGCAGGTAGGCAGGTGGGTAGGTGAACAGGTGGGCAGGTGAACAGGTGGGCAGGTGGGTAGGTGAACAGGTGGGCAGGTGAACAGGTGTGCAAGTGAGTTAGTGGGTAACTGAACAGGTGAGCAGATGGGTAGGTGAACAAGTGGGCAGGTAAACAGGCCAATAGGTGAACAGGTGGATAGGTGAACAGATGGGCAGGTGAACAGGTGGGTAGGTGAACAGGTGGGCAGATGAACATGTGGGCAGGTAAACAGGTAGGCAGTTGGATAGATGAACAGGTGGGTAGGTGAACAGGTGGGCAGATGAACATGTGGGCAGGTAAACAGGTAGGCAGTTGGGTAGATGAACAGGTGGGTAGGTGAACAGGTGAACAGGTGGGTAGGTGAGTAAGTGAACACGTGGGTAGGTGAACTGGTGAACAGGTGGGCAGGTGGGTAGGTGGGTAGGTAAACTTGTGGGCAGGTAAACAGGTGGGTAGGTGAACAGGTGGGCAGGTAAACAGGTGCATAGGTGAACAGGTGGATAGGTGAACAGGTGGGCAGGTGAACAGGTGGGTAGGTGAAGAGATGGGCAGGTGAACAAGTAGGCAGGTGAACAGGTGAGTAGGTGAGCAGGTGAGTAGGTGAGCAGGTGAGTAGGTGAGCAGGTGGGTAGGTGGGCAGATGGGTAGGTGAGGTGAGTAGTTGAGCAGGTGGCTAGGTGGGTACATGAACAGATGGGTAGGTGAGCAGGTGTGCAGGTGGGCACGTGGGCAGGTAGGTAGGTGGACAGGTGAGTAGGTGAGCAGGTGAGTAGATGAACAGGCGGGAAGGTTGCAGGTGGGCAGGTGAGCTGATGAGTAGATGGGCAGGTGGGTAGGTGAACAGTTGGGTACATGGGCAGGTGCCCAGGTAAACATGTGGGTAGGTGAACAGGTGGGTAGTTTGACAGGCGGATAGGTGAGTAGGTGAACAGGTGAGCAGGTGGGCAGGGGAACAGGTGGGCAGGTGGGCAGGGGAACAGGTGGGCAGGTGGGCAGGTGGGCTCTATTCCCATGGGCCTGGCTGTCCCCTGCTCACTCTGGGGCTGCAGCTCTGGCCTCAGGCCGAGCTCCCAGGCCTCTTTGTAGGAAAAGAGAGGGACCTACCGTATGTCCTTGCTCACTAAATTCTTCATAACAATTTGCAACATTTTGTTCTATTTTGTTAATTATTATTTTTTAAAAAGACAGAGGTGGTCAGGGTCTGGGGTCTCTTATCCCCTCCCGGGCAATGGGCCTCAAAGATTTAAAGGAAGGACACAGAGGGAATGTCTTAAAGCACAGTTTTTCAGCAAACACAGTTTGCTTCTCATGCTCGGGACTTGCCTGAGGCCTTTCTGACCCTGCTTGCCCTCCCCAGAATCGAGGCACTCGCCAAGGTCCATTTCTTCCCCCTCTTCCCGCCCCCCTGCCCTGTTCCTGTGCGGTCTCCCAGCTTCCTCACCCATCTTGACTTCTCAGTTGGAATCTGTCAGGTCACATGCCCCTGCCTGCCATGTCTGCCTCCGCACTGCACGCCTGGCCTGTCCCTTCAGCCGGGGCTCCATGTCCCTCCACGTCGCCTCCTTATCTCTCTGGCTTCCCTGGCCACGGCCCACAGCAGGGGCCACAGTTCACAGCAGGGCCCACGGCTCACAGTGGTGGTAGACGAGGAAGCCACTTAGTTTGGTGGGATGTCCTCACGTCTGCACAAGACTGCTGGGACGGAGGCTTCATCTTCCTTTAGGTTCTTCTCTTCTTTCCCAGATATGGCGGTGAACGAGGTTACACTGCTGGAGACTGACTATGACAAATTCCTGTTTCTCTGCATGAAGAGCACCGTCACCCCCAAGCAGAGCACCATGTGCCAGTACCTGGGTGGGTCTCAGAGGGCATGAGCTCAGCGTGGGTGAGAGGTCGAAGCTACGTCCATGGGAACCCTGGGGAGATGACAGCTGGCTTCCTGTCCACCTCGGTGCCTGGGGGCTGAGTTTTTCTGTCTTGGTTTTTTGTTTGTTTGTTTTCTCTGAGACAGGGTCTTGTTCTGTTGCTCAGGCTGGAGTGCCGTGGCGCTATCTCAGCTCACTGTGACCTCCACCTCCCAGGTTCAAGCGATTCTTGTGCCTCAGCCTCCCCAGTAGCTGGGGTTGCAGGCGCATATCATCATGCCTGACTAAATTTTGTATTTTTTGGTAGAGAAAGGGTTTCACCATGTTGGCCAGACTGTTCTCCAACTCTTGACCTCAAGTGGTCCACCTGCCTTGGCCTCCCAAGGTGTGAGATTACAGGTGTGAGCCGTGGCGCCTAGCCAGGCTGAGTTTTTCTCCAGTGATTGATCCAGTCCTCTGACACTGCATCAGAAACTGGGCAGCAGGGAGCTGATATGGGGCCAGTGGGATGGTCACCAGTCAAAGGGCTGGGCTTGGTGGAAAGATTAATACTCACTGGACATCCAGTCAAAACACCCTTAAACCTACGAAGTTCTTGTCCAAACTAAGGCTGGGAATGCTGAATTAGACACATGGGCGCAGCCCTTCCCTGTGTTTCTGAGCACAGCATTGCCTCGGGGGACACACAGGTGTCTTCTTTATCAGCCTCAGCCATGCTTGGTGAGAGCCGGACACTGGGGAGGCGGGCACTGTGCTCCCGTGACCCTGTAGACACCATCCTGAGCTGTGTGGACCCCAGCGCTGCCCAGAGTGAAGCAGAGGGGGCCCGGCTGAGGAGTGGGAGCTGGGGACGGGGAACCTGGAGGCCAGGTGGACAGAGCCCCGGAGACCACCCTGGGGGCCTGCTCCAGACCAAACTCTGCCTGACCTGGGAGCACTGGGGCCTCCTTCCGTGGCCTCCCACCCTGGCACGGCCTCTGGAGCTCCCCAGCTCTCATTCAAGCCCCAGGGGCCCAAGACTGAGCCAGTCTCCCCCACAGCCAGATCCCTGGAAGCAGATGATGAGGTCCTGAAGGAATTCTTCCGCACTTTCAAGACCCTGCCCGTGCAGCTATGGTTCCTCCTGGAATGGTACCAGGTGGAAGGTGAGCTCTGCCCAGGACAGGCCCAGCCTCAGCGAGAGGAGAAGCTCCCTTTTTCTCAGCCCAAGCCCCCCACTGGCTCTGGAGGACTCAGGTCACTCCTTGGCCCCTCCCCAGTTCTCACCCTGCCTCCTGGGGTGCAGAGCCACCCTGGGATGGGGTCCCACCCCCTCCCATCATCCTCCCATCCCTGCTCTGGCCCTGGGGCGGCTGTGTCCCCAGCTGTCTCTTCTCTCTGACACCCCCTCTACCCCCTCTCCTCCCACAGAGCCGTGCCCTACCTAGGAGAGCTCCTGCCTGGTCCTGCCTGCTGGGTAACGTATCCGCCTCGCCCACAGCCTGGGGCTGCCTCTCTGGGCCCCTGGGAATGACCCCACTGTGTCCAGTTCAGGGCTGAGCCTGCAGGAATGAGCTGGGGTCTGGCCTTGTGATTCCAGAAAGCCAGGCTGCTGACGTCCCCGTCCACGCGCCCAGCCTGTGTCCTGCAGGTGCTGTGTTAGTCACCAGCTCCTGCCCTGCAGTCAAACCGCATGCTTCTCTGGGGGTTTGGGGTGTTGGTTGGAAGTGGTGGGGCTGGAGGAGGAGGAGGGAGGATGGCTCCATGGGAGGGCGTGGGAAGCTGGGACGTGAGGTCTCGGTGTCACTTTTTTTTTTTTTTGAGACAGAGTCTCACTCTGTCGCCAGGCTGGAGTGGAATGGTGTGATCTTGGCTCACTGCAACCTCTGCCTCCCGAGTTCAAGTGATTCTCCTGCCTCAGCTTCCTGAGTAACTGGGATTACTGGCTCCTGCCACCATGTGCATCTAATTTTTGTATTTTTAGTAGTGACAGGATTTCACCATGTTAGCCAGGATGGTCTTGATTTCTTAACCTCATGATTCACCTGCCTCAGCTTCCCTGTGCTGGGATTTCAGGGCCACATTTTTAAGGGGGTGTCCTAGAGCCCACCCACGTCCTTCCAGGACCCCCCGCAGCACCCTGCTCCTCCTTCCTCTACTTAAGTGACCTGTGAGACTCAACAGCTCACCTCCGCCTCCAGGAAGACCAGACCCCCGCCCAGCCACACCTCCAGCATCGTACGACCTCCCCCTGCCCTTTCAAAGAATGTCCACGGCGCAGAAGACGACGGCGTGGCCACCGTGTTCCGGTCCCTTCCTGCTGCACACCTGCACCTCGGGCGTGGGGAGGCTGCTCCCTGGGGACCGCGTCTGGCAGAGATGATTAATAAACCCATACAACACGATCCACCTGGACCACAGTCACTGCCGGGGGTGGGATTCGAGGACCGGGGCCGTGGGGCAGGCCCAGCCCACCGTCTGGCAGAGCCAGAGCTGCCACGAACCCAGGGGCAGCGTCTGCCGGAGAAAATACCTCAAGTTTCTTATCTACAGGATGAAAGATTTGTGAAATGTCTAGAAAAATCAAACCAAACCACTCTATCAGAATTGATGAGCCCAGAGGAAACTCACAGTCTTAATACTGAAATAGGTTCACAGGAAAGAGTTAAAATCAACGAATCTGTTTCCAGCTTTTGTTAGAAAAAAAATCATTAAGGAAAGTAAGAAAATAGAATTAACAGAAATCAAAGCAAAATGTCAAAATCAGAGAAATTTATCAAGTTCTTGCACCTGCGCCCCGTGGTGGCGGGTGAGGGGCGGGGGCTGCTGGGATTCAGCTCACCTGTCAGAAACACCTGGGAAACAAGTCCAGCAACTGTCAATGAGCTGATTGAGAGGAAACTGATAAAAAGAATCATAAGGGGTTTGCTGTCTGACTCACAGTATATTTTTTAAAAACCAAAATGGATAATTTCAGGGCAAATGTAAGTGTCCAAAACAGATCAGAGAAGGCTAGAGATGAAGTAACTCGGTCAGGCCCCTTCCCAAGGCAGATAGACAGACACGGCCAGGGGTCTGTGTCCCAGCCTGGCCCCCGACATCCAGAGCAGCCGGGCAAGGGGTCTCCTGATGAAGCCAGGCAAAGTAAACAGTCCCAGGCGTGGGGAGGGGCAAAGCCTCCACACTCGTCTATAATGCTGGGAAAACATCTCCATCAAAACCCGTGAGAGACAGCACCGCAAAACCAGCCCCTGCCAGGAGGAGGTAGCGCTCATGTAGAACTAAGGAACTTCCGTGCTGTCTGTGTCACAAACAGGCCACTTTCGCCCAGGCGCCGTGGTTCTCACCTGTCACCCCAGCACTTTGGGAGGCCAAGGCGGGCGGATCACCTGAGGTCAGGGGTTTGGGACCAGCCTGGCCAACATGGTGAAACCCCATCTGTACTGAATATTAAAAAATTAGCTGGTGTGTTCATGGATGACCTGTAATCCCAGCTGCTCTGGAGGCCAAGGCAGGAGAATTGCTTGAACCCGGGAGGTGGAGGTTGCAGTGAGCTGAGATCGTGCCACTGCACTCCAGCCTGGGCGACAGAGCGAGGTAAACACAGACCTTGAGTCTGACAGGAAACATTTACAATCTATTCTCTCTGAAGCCTGCTCTCCGGAGTCTTCATCTGCAGGAGAAAACTTTAGCCTCCACAACCTGTTATTGTAAGCCAGACATTCCTTTCTATAGATAATAACTCATTCAGCCAATTGCCAATCATAATACGTTTAAATCTACCTATAACCTCGAAGCCCCCCAACCTTGAGTTGTCCCACGCTTCTAGATGGAACCAATGTAAATCTTACATCAATTGATTGACGTCTGCCATCTCCTAAAAGGGGTAAAACACACTGCCCTGACCACCTTGGGCACGTGTTGTCAGGACCTCCTGAGGCTGTGTCTCAGGTGCGTGCTTAATCTTGGCAAAATACACATTCTAAACTGATTGAGGTCTGTCTCAGATGCTGTGGGTTCACACTGGAAAGGTCTCTCATCTTCTAAAATTAAAATAATGGTCTTCCTAGCATTTTTATGGTTTCATCAGGAGTTCATTTGAGTCATGAGTTAAGACTCAGACTACATTTCCCAGGTGCCCTCCAGTCTCCCAGGGCTGCACGTCAGCCGCTGCGTCTTCTCACACGCCTGATGCTCATGGGCATTCAGACGAGATGTGTACAGCCTCGAAATTCTCTCCTACTGGCATGTTTCTTTATATGCCACGACCACAGTGTTTTCATCACCTTATCCTTAACATCTGGTTTGGGTTTCTCCTTGTTATTCTTTTATCAGAATTTTCTTAGTTATTCTTATCTATTTCTACCTTCAAATGCACTGTAGACTAAATTGGTGAGAAATCTGGTTGATGTTTTTATGTAATTGCATTACATTTATAGCTTGATTTAGGGAGAATTTACATCTCCATGGAATTTTCTACCCGTAATTGCAATATGTCTTTTCTTTGTTCATGTCTTTTGTTGAGTCTTCAGGCATGTCTAAATTCTTTGCTTAATATTGTTTGTGGCGAGGCATGGTGGCTCACACTGGTAATCCCAGCACTTTGGGAGGCCAAGGCAAGCGGATCCTCTGAGGCCAGGGGTTCAGGACCTGCCTGGCCAACATGGTGAAACCCCGTCTCTATTAAAGATACAAAAAGGCTGAGTACAGCGACTCATGCCTGTAATCCCAGCACTCTGGGATGCCAAGGTGGGCGGATCACCTAAAGTCAAGAGTTCGAGACCAGCCTGGCCAATATGGTCAAACCCTGTCTCTACAAAAACAGGTCACATGGCACCAAAAATGGTGTTCGAGAGAAGGAATGATGGATGGATGGATGGGTGGTGAATGGATGGGTGGTGGGTGGATGGATGGATGGATGGCTAGTGGTTGGATGGTGCTAGGGTGGATGGATGGAGGGGTGGTGGATGGATGGGTGGATGGATGGATGGATGGATGGTGGATGGATGGTTCCTGGGTGGATGGATGGATAATTGGAAGGATTGGAGGCCGCTGGAGGAGTCAAAATTGACACTGAACATGAAAATACCTTGGCAACCTGGAGAAGTCATAAAAGGGAGAAGATAAATAACCTATATTCCATATGAGCTAATGAAACCATCCACCATTCATCCATCCCTCCACCCATCCATTTATCCATACATCAGTCTATAACATCCATTATATCCAAGTATTCACCCATCCATCTACCACCTCTCTACCCCAACCACCATCCATCCATCTGCCCATCCATCCACCCAATCATGTATCTACCTATTCATCCGTCCACCCACCACCTACCCACTACCCATCCACCATCCACCCACCACCTA